TTTCAAATAGTCATGTTTAACAGCAGGATTTGTGGTGAAAAGCTAAATGACCCATGATACTGTATAGAAAGAGAGTTGTGGAGAGCCAATTGGGAGTGGAGGGGCAAGTTGCGTGATTTGGTTAAATGTTTAAATGTGCAAAAGTGTTGTGATGGCTGGTTTGTGCTGAAAAATGTGGGTATTCTGTTAGCGTGGTGAGGGCTAAAGGTCAAGGGCATGACTACCTCCAGGCTGGCCTCGGCGTTTTAGCGAACAAGAGCAAACTTGCTAAAGGTCATGTTGTTACAGTTCTCCGCTGAAAGGTTACAGAGATGCATGGCCCCGAAGAACCAAGACAGATCACTCATGCAACTGATTCATGTTTTCTGCTCAAATGTTGTGAGAGCCTCTAAATGAGTGAGTGTGGGGGAAAAAAAAGCAAAAAACAGCTGCTAAATGTCAGTTGTGTTTCTTAAATAATGTTTTATAATCTATGTTGTCTGTTATTTTAATAGATTAGACCTTGAAAAGTTTTCACATGTTTAAAGGGGTAGGCTAGTAAAAATGGCAGGGTTTTCATTTTAAGTGATTTATTCCTTTAAGATTTCACACAATTAATATGTTGGAAATGTCGAATGTCAGTTCCTTTACGTCACACGAGACTTTTCCCTCTTTGTTTTCTACCTCTCAGTGGGAGAGTTATTGAGGACGTTTAGGAGAGACTGGAGCTAATTTTATATTTTGCTCATTGAGCTTAGAGAGAGGGAGGGATGTACACACAGGAAGGAGAAACAGAGGAGATGTGAGACAGAGAGAGAGCTCAACTTTCATTAGACAGACCAGACCTTAGGAGAAACCCGTGTCCATCAGACGCCACTGACCACAGAGGAAGGCAGAAGAACTCACCTCATCGCTCATCACACATATGGTGTGCTGGTTTTGTTCAAATCATCGCAACACACAACGTGTCTCAATAGCAGTATCACCAAACAAAAAGAAGATACGTAGATGTAAAACCTACCCTCTTTGGATAATGTTTTTTCCTGCAGATACAGTGGCTTGGACCAATTTATTCAATTAAATGATTTATAGGAGGAAGTATTGCATGATATCAGCTCTCGCGATGTAACATATTCCTTTACGGCACTGCACACACCCCCATCCAGGAACAAGGTAGGGAGGGATGGAGTTTGTCACACTATCGTCATGGCTGAACCGCGCTCTGCGTGAGTGCTTTTTACGACAGTAACGTTAAATTCAATTACTCCACAGTGACTTTAGGGGTCGCTGTTTGACAAAAACAAGTTGTCAACTTCAATCGCTGTTTGTAACCAATTTTACTTCTGCAATGTGATGTTTTGAGAGAAGCTAACTATTTACAGTAAGATCAGGAATGTACATTACAAAATAAATTGATTCATGAACAATGCATTTAAAATCTAATAGGTCAAAAAATGCCTAATAAAGAAGTTTAGTGGTAAAATAAAGGCTAAAATGACCCGATTTCATGAATCTATTTCATAATAAGTGAATCAAACTTCATTAATAGATCATTGTTCAATAAGTGTAAATCTAAAGATATCTGCTTTTTTGTTCTTTGGCCTTTCAGGAGCTTCCTGTATGAGTTGATATGCTGCAATGCACATTTTATGCTAGAAACACTGCTTTACTTCTTTACTCGTTATTAATTTTACTTCAAGTTTTGTGTTGCGAGGTTGAACTTTTTAACACATTTAACTTCAGCTGAGCATATTTTGGTGGAGTGACACCATTTTGAAAGTGTATGTTTTAAAGTATTATGTTTTCAGCTTCAGTGTTCATTGCTGTGGCATTGTGGGTAGTTTTAGGTGTCTCTCAGCAGTTGTTTGTTATTCATAAGTGCTCTTAGCTGGAAATATGCAAAATAGACACATTTCTGAATAGCTGGAAGCTCATCTCGAAAATACTCTTTGCATTAATGGTAGACCTGTCCAAAACTTTACACATTTCCAGTGAATGGCAGGACGAAAACTGCATGAATTGTCCATGAAGGACTTTGAAGAGCCTGTCTAAAGCCTAAAACTACTACACAGTTTATTATTAGAATTGTTTTATAATATATAGGCCTATTAATATTAATTATTTATGTATGTAATTTCATGTAGATATTGTTTTATATATAAACAAGTCTAGACTTCCCATTGGCTAGTAGTAACTACACTGGAAAGGTTGATGTCATACATTCTTATTTTATAAAAATCATTACCAGGCTCCTAGTTAGCACTATTTTCCTGAATGGTGACGCCTCAGTGATCATCCACAGTTTTGGGCCCTCTTGAGATTTCCTAAGTTGACACGTTTCATTAATCTTAATTGTTTATCAACTACATATGTGTAAAAATAGAACCAGATTTGCACCTACAGTTTTGGAGCAGTTTCCCATGACTGATTTCCCATGGATCTTGACCCTTTCTCCTGATTATAAAGCGAAGAGTGATGAGGGATGGGGATGAGAAAATGAGGCAGGAGAAGATGGCGGATATCAAGAAAGCAGAGAGAGAGAGAGAGAGAACTAGAGACAGTGGCTGGCAGGCCATGTTTCATGCAAAATACAGATGAATAATGTATCCTGCCCACCTAGAGTAATACAGATCCATTTCTCCGACTCTTTCTTCCTCCTCCTCTTATGCTGTGGATTGTTGGAGACCTTAATCGGGTAGTAAATGACCTACTCTACTGTCTCATATGTCCCCTGAGCCAAGATGAACCATGGGCTCATATTTTGGCTAGTTGGCATGCTGCAACTCTACCATCTGGACCAAGAAAGGCTTTTTGTACTAATAACCATTCAAATTTGAGGCTCAAAGTTATTTGAGGGAACCAAAAAAATTGCATTTTTGCATTTCTACAAACAAACAAAAAACTTTATTGACACCTTTATTTTTCAGAGTGTGATATATATAATATAAGACTATAATTTGGTTTTATATCACCCACCTCGCTCACTTGATGGCATCAGCCATGAAAAATAAATTTTGGACAACCACTAGATCGAATATTGCAATTTTGTTTTTCAAAACTCTCAAAATCATTTGAGTTCTTTTGATTTCAAGGCAGTCTGTTCTTTTACAAAATCCAGATTTTGCTCTGAAACAGAACTGCATACACAACCGAACTGTGTTTAGCTCCTGTGTGAATGTGCCTAACCATTTTGCCAAATATTTGTATATTTTTAAATATTTTTATACCTCAAGTTGCATATAAACATGATGCGAATAAATATTTTTTGAGTTGCATCATCAGCATTACAGTGTTAAGCTACAGCATGATAGTAATAATCCTAACTGTGGAATATGCAAGTGTTTCTGTCTCACTAAAACAAACGAGGAAATTAAATAAATCCCAAATCAACAGCTCTTGTGTGTGTGTGTGTGTGTGTGTGTGCGCGCATGAAATGTGACCGCCAGAGGCACAGAAAAGAAATAAGCACCACAGCTGGCCGATGTGCTATTCTGTCAGGGTGCCTGTGGAGAGGCCCTTAGCAGATTTCTCTCTCTCTCTGTCACTCTCACTCACTCTTTCTTGTCCTCCTGGTCCTCTTATGAAAGATACACCATATCTGGACAGGCCCTCAAATCAGGCTAATTGTGACATGCTGCAATTAGCAGCGAACAGAAAAGAATGCTAAATTTGCAGAGTTGAATCGAACTAGATACCCGTCGATCTCTATTTCTCTCATCAACCACCAATCTGTGCTGCAGCGTGCCCTAATCATGCGCTAAATCACATCTATTACATTTTAATCCATGACCTCTCTGGGTGTTTGGTTGCTATTTTCATCATTTCCCTTTTAGATAGAACTTAGAAATGACTTCACTCTCGTAACTTTACTGGTTAGGACATGCATTTTTAATCCATCACGCCAGCATCCTTCTCCTTTACCTATTACATCACATTCTGACAGTTTTCATCTCTCCTGAAGTCTCGTTGCCTGGCAGCGGTGGTGCTGGAGATTTTGACCTCTGGTCTGTGAGAGTCATCACTTCTTCACTTTAAATAAATACAGATTATTCATCTATCATGTCCTCTCCAGGGTTGTCTATATATGTGTGTGTGTGTGTGTGTGTGTGTGTAGAGTTTTTCATTAGCTCCCCTATGAGTCCCCTCCCTGCACAAGGTGATCTGTTATTGCCTGTCTAACCCTGGGGTGCCGTGATGGATGTCAGTTTGTGAATTATTTCTCACTGAGCTAAACCTTTATTCAGTCGTCTGTTTCTGCTCAGATCGCAATGAGCAAGGGCTCACGAGTGACTCTCATCTGTTGTCTTTTGGTATTTAGTTGTTATTACACATCTTCAAGTGAGATTCTTAGAGTGCGTTCAGATTTTGGTGAAATTGAGCATTTTCTTGTTTGTCCAACATGGTGGTGCCGACTTTGCTGTCTAAACCAAAACTGTATTCTCATTTCTGAAGAGTCCTCATTTCCTATAACACCTCCTATCACATAAGTTTCTTAAAGTCTTCCGATTGCCTTTAAAAATAAACCTAGATGTTCCTTCACGGATCTTGTGTTTCTGAAAGCAAGAGTTCAGCAGTTGCTTGTTCTTATCTTGCTCTTTCAGATTATGTTAAATTAGTGTTGAATGATGCAAGTAACTTTCTTCGCCTTCTGTACTTGTCACTAGTGTTTAGATGTTAATAGCTCTCCAAACCACATGGGCTTCAGGAAAACGCATCTTAGCCAGAGGATGCACCGCAAATAATCATTATCTGTCACGTTGTATTTTTACCGTCATCCTCTATTTTTAACCATCAGTAAAACATTGCAATGCTTGGTAGTTTTTTTTTTATTTTTTATGTGGCATTAATATTTCAAGAACTTCTGTGACAAGAGCTGTTTTCTCTTCCCAATCGGTGCGGTTTTGCGTCTTTTGGCTTTTTCTACTCTTAGCTTCATGTTGAGTGCTTCTGCTAAAGGTTGAATGCTCCATATGTTGCTGTGGTTGTGATTGTCTCTCACTCTCCTCGTCTTTCTCTTCCAGGAGCCCAAGGCCAGTTCCCTCTCGTACAGAACATGACTGTGACAGAAGGAGGGATAGCCAACTTGACCTGCCGTGTGGAACACAATGACAACACCTCCCTCCAGTGGTCAAACCCTGCACAACAGACACTCTTCTTTGGGGACAAGAAAGGTGAGTGAGTGATTGCCACTAAACTCACTGGGATTCGTATCTTTGTCTTGGGTGTTATCGGGTGGACGAGGGACCTCTGCTGAATGAGATTTTTAATGGAGGAACTTTAAGGGATTGCGGTCTTTTACTACTGCTAAGATTGCGATGAGAGATTGCTGGCGGTGCTAAACTGTTGTTATAAACTGAATTCTGTTTCCAAACCTAGTCAGCTTTGTTGTAAGTGTTTTAAGGCACCAAATGTGCACAAAGTGTGATGTAAACTTCCTTTTGAAACCATCTGCATATCAGGAATGCCCCTATGATGCCTTAACGTGATATGCTAAGCCGTAAGATACCTTGTTTTGACCTAATTATTTGAAATCTGTTGAATCCAAGATGGCGGACAAGTTCAGAGAAAATCTAACTCCAAGATGGCTGATGAACTGATGGAAAAAATAAGCCCAAAATAGACAGCAAGCTCAGTGAAATCATAAATCAACATGATGGACAAGCTCAGTAAAATCTAAATGAAAAAATAAATAAATAATTTCAAGATGTCAGAGAAAAGCTAACTCCAAGAAGCCGGAAGAACTGACAAGGGGAAATAAATCCAGTATGGTGGACAAGCTCAGTGTAAACAAATTCCAACATGGTAGATAAGTTCAGAAACAATAAAATAATAAATAAATAAATCCAAGGTGACGGAAAGACTTGTGAAGGCGTGTTGACGGAAGATGGCGTGAAAAAAAAAATCCAAAATGGCTACAACATGGCTACAAACTTTTTGGTAACAAAAATAAGTAAAACCAAGATAGCGGAAAAGCTTATTAAAGTACTCTCTCTCTTCTTTTGAAATCAGTTTTAAATTGAATCCCATTCATATGAGGAGCTGTGTGTATAGTATATAGTGTTCTAAATCGTTCACTTACAAAGTACCATGACTGTTTGGGTGTTGCTTTTGAAGGAGGCTGTCTATGTAGGCGGTTTTGGAAGAAAGCCTTTAAAAATCTATTTGTGTGTACAAAGATTTACAATTGTATCTCGTTGTCTGAGTTAAAGGGTGGATACATCATCTGGACTTTCTTCCACACCTGGCTGGTTGTTGTAAAATGGCTTTGTGTTCACCTGGTGTATGATTGGTTGGCTATAAATTTCTGTAGAGAATCAATATTAGTCCCAGCAAATCGTTATAAGACACACTTTTTACCTGTAAACACCCTTAATCAAGAGCAGACGCAAAGTCAACAACTAGACAATCTCCCAGACTCCCACACATGCAGTCATGAGAGCACATGGACGCTCATACATGAGAAAGTGGGACAGCAGCTTGATTAATGTTGTGGAATACTAACAGATTACATTTGATAAATGAGGTATGGGAGGTGAGCCATTTAAGGGACTCTCCACTGCAACGTTAAAGATATCTACTGTTCCCAGATCAGATCAATACGGAGCAGGAGCGTTATCACAGGCTCGGCAAATGCCCCATTCATTATGTCAGCAGAGCTTTTCGTGTGGAAGTAATCATGGGACGTATTCGATACACCCGGCGGATTGGATTTTATAATGATATTGTGGCGCTCCATATCTGAGAACTCCCCAGGTTGTTTGTACGGAGATAATAAATAAATGTCCTTTGATTTATAAAAGATTCATGTGTCAAAGATAGCTTAGTGTTTCCTGGCCCACACAGACTGCGGCGTGTATGGCGTGATCAGAGAATACATGGAAGTAGAATAACAATTAGCTTTGAATGTCTGATTTATGCGTTCAGGTGGTGACTTTGTGTTCAGAGGCAACTGACTTCCATCTCTACCGAGGGCAGACAGAAACATGAAATCCCAGTGCGTTATTTAGAATTTTCTCCCCAATTTAGAAAGAAATTGTGGCTTGTTAGTTCTTGTCTTGAACAATTTTACATTAAGAAGAAAATTCTGTCATCATTTAATCGGCCCTATGTCGTTCCAAACCATGGATGTCTTTTCCATTATGGAACACACCTGATTACAGTTTGAGGTATTCGGGAAATTGCCACTGACAAGTAGTTTTACTTCCTTGCCATTGAAGCATGGCACTGTGTTCTTTTATATGTATTATAAGTATTAGTATACTTTCAAGACACAGCTAAAAACATATCTATTCAACATGTACTTTGTTTAAATGTGATTATTTTGTATCCTCTGTGACTGTAAGCTGTGTGTAAGTGTTTAAATGTATTATTTATGTACCATGTAAAGCGACCTTGAGCTTTGGAAAGGCGCTATATAAATAAAACTTCTTCTTCTTCTTCTTCTTCTTCTTCTTCTTCTAGTATTATAATTTAATTTATAGTATTCTAATCTAATCTAATTCTAATTGTAAAGTAAAAACATATGTTTTCCTTAATTAGATTTTAAAATTAAGTAGTTTAAAATTCTAAGTAGTAGTTAATAATAATGCATGGTTACACTTTATTTCGATAGTAACTATAAGTAACTTTTCAACTACGTGTCAACTAACTGTAATTCGACTATTAGTAGACTGTAGTCGACTGTCAGTAGACTGTTAGGTTAGGGTAAGGTGTTGGGGTTCAGGTTAGGAGAACAAGTTGATTTGTAGTTGCTAAATTATAGTCAGTTGAATATCTGTTGGAAGACCATAAAAATAAAGTATTAGCAGATATTAAGCAGGCAGTCTACTAATACTCTAATGATAGTTAGTTGACATGTAGTTGCAAAGTTACTTACTTAGTTGAATGTCTAAAGTGGGCTATCAAAATAAAGTGTTACCCTAATCCCAGCCAATCAGAAGATATTTGGTGTTGAATATGCAGCATTGTGAAGCATGAATTTAGCCAATGAGATTCCCCAGGGGGCGGGCCATGTTAATACCTACAGTAAGTTCTTAAAGGAATGTTCTGGGTTTGGGGTTTCAAAACCTCTCACATGATGAATACCACAGATAATTATATTATTGCCTCTCATGGTTTTTTTTTTTTGTTTTTTGTTAAAACACATTATTATTGTTTATTGTTTTTTTTCTGATGTGGATGAACTGGTTATGCGTTACCAATGTAATTCCTATTTTGTATATTATGCAAAAATGACCATAGTGTGTTCTTATTGTATTCATATTACTTTATAACTGTTCTTAAACTACGTTCTTCATAATATGCAGTAGCATCTGGTTTGGTGCAAATCTATCATGTAACTCACATTATATTGAGTTAATTTAGATAATTGTCTGAGTTAATTGACATTAAGCCACAAATGCTGTTGATTGAGCTATAATGAACCTTTTCATGTAGGGAAAGTTAGGTTTCAGGCTTGTGGTTGGAAATGATAAAACAGGCTCTTTTGCACTTTCATTAGCTGCTATAATACCACAATGATTATTAAAGGGCCATGTGTAGGTTTTTACTTAAAAAATCTATAAGAGAGAGTCTTCATTTGTACATTTAGAGCCAACCATAATCTAATAGAAAGAATGACACATTGACTGTCCACCACGGTTGCCTCTATCAGCCTGTAGAGTCCGAATTGGCGTGAAAATTCATTCAAAGTCGCTGCTTGGGCTTACATCCGTACGGCAGCCATTAGTAAACAGTAGCAATCGCTAGCAGTATTGTTTTTTTAAATGGACTCTGCGGACGGAAAGAAACGACCAGGCAACGAGTGTGCGAACGCACCGAGAATGAGCATGAGACTGGCTGCAGTTTCTCTAACGGCCACTGGTGTCAGTAACGGTAAGAAATTTCAAAACTTCCGCAATGCTCCTTTAACGCTTGAATATTTTGTGTCTCAGATGAAGACTGTAATTTAACTCCTCACCTTGGCCAAGCACTCATCCACACCTGCTTGTTTTTCTGCAACAGTCTATGGTTAATTTGTGCAGATAAGCTCTCATGCTGTGCCAGCACAGCGTTTCCTACAATTACATTTTCCTGAAGCACGCTCTGTGGGAGGAAATTTGTGATTGGCTGAGCGGCACCTGCGAGGATGTCCATGTGTGTTTTTATCCGTGCTAGAGAGGACGGTTGTTTAGATATGCTGCGTTGACCACAAAAAGGTGTGTAGACTAAGTCACTCGATTCCGATAATGTGCTTTTCATGCCAGAGCGAGGGCTTAATTATTAACACTATGAGCTTCAGATACGACTAAAAAAGTTTCACATTTGGGAAACAGTTTAATAAGAAACGCATCCAGAGCAGAGGAGAGGAGGCGATAACGGGGAGGGGTTGTGAAATCCGCCTGCTAGGGATGGCTTCTGATTTGATTTAGAGCTTGCTGCAATCTAGCTGAACCAGGAGGAAATGTCTCTAGTTTGTGCCAGGAGCTGGTTGAATAGTTTATCCTTGCAAGCTGTCAGTCTATCTGATCTCAGTCCTGACAGAAAACATCAATCACTCAAGTACAAATTTAATTGTCTGTTACGCCATATAGATCATTGTGTTTCAGATTTGGCTCTTCTTTGCAATATAATCATTCTTAGTTCTAGCAAATAAAGGCCTGTTCATGGCAAGATGAAGGTTCCGTGCGATAAACAAGTTTACATTTAGGTAATTGTTACAATGGCAATCTGCAAATTTATTTTCTAAAATATGATAATCTTAATGTAAATAATAAAATGAATAAATAAAAGTCTTGTCAAAAAAGTCTGTCAGCCTGTAGTTGGTCTCCCAGCAGTTTTGCCCCTCTCTCATGTCACTCAGTGATGGGTGTGTGAAGTGTATGTGGGGGAAAAGTGCTCCATTGTGCTGCTCTTTACAGGTTTTGGATAGTTTTGCAGCCTCAAGGAAAGTGAAAATGAGGGAAGGGAGGAAGGGAGATTTCAGAAATTTTGTGCATGGCCAAAGGGGGTTTGTGGGAAATATTTACAGCTGCTATTTTTTTTTATCATCTGCCAGTAAAAGCCCATAGAGTCCATGTACAGGTGCAGATGTGTGTTCTCAACGAATGGCGTTGATGTGGTGCCTCAAATGTGCGTTTGTTCTGTACATGTGTGGTTTTACACCGTCCCACAACTCTCTCGGACTTAAATG